GAGAAACTTGCCAGGCCTGTGTGTATACATCACCAAAATCCAAAAAGGAGGGAGAAATAGAGAAGGGATGTGACATGACCATTCTCCATGGGGTGTGATTTCTCACTTTCTCTCTCCGTCTCCCTTCAGCAAGCTCATGTATCCTTTGGCAAAAAAAAAAAAGATAACGTGAGTGATTATAGGTAGGAAAAGATATTTGTGACACACTGCTGGGTAAGTGTGGTTGCAGTTTTGTAGTTCAGTATATGCCATTAAAATTTTTTTTAAAGATTTATTTTATTCAGCTTTATGTATGTATGCATTTTAATTTGACCAGAGAGTGGGGGTGGAGAGAGAGAGAGAAAAGTGAGAAAGCAAGCCACCAGGTCCAAGACTCAAACCATGATCTGCCATGTGGGAGTCTAGCACCCCTAACCACCACGCCACCTGCTGGCCCCACCATTTAAAATTTTTATAAAAGTAACATATTTATGTGTATAGCCATGCATTTGTTTAAAATATTGACTTTGCATGTTTTTACTCTTATGTGCGTTTAAATGTGGCTATAGGGACATACAATGTCCAAGGATATATACCAAAATATAATGTCTCTACATGTGGTGCTTTATCAGTTTTGCTTAGCTGATTTTCACATTCTTTCACAATGAACTTGTGCTACAAAGAAATTAACAAGTATAAAATGTTGACAAGGTAGGAACACTGCATGTTCCCAAGCAAAGGACCAAGAATTTGGGGAGATTTCATTCAGGCTCTGGAGGAGTCAATAATCCCTTCTCCTGTCTCCCCACACAGTGAGAACTTCTGCAACTACTTCTTTCCCCAGAGCAAACACAGCCAGCTGCTTGCTCCTCGGGGCCTACGCTCTTCTGATCCTCTGATCCCCGTTTATTCTTCAGGTTGGCTGCTACAACTCCACCGCTCTGGCCAGGCCGGCCTAACCACAATCATCACATTCGGCTCATGCTCCTGAGATGACATCCTGGTCCTCTTGATGGGATGTGGGTGTTCCCCAGGCCCAACCACCCACTGGGACGCAGGGCATCTTTAAAGGAATGCTTCCTCCACAGTCAGCTCTTGGCCTATCTGGGACAGTGAGTCACTCTGGTTTCAATCCAGAACACAATCTCATTTCCAGGTTGTAAGGGCACCTCCCCATTACTCCCTGAGGTAGAGGAATAGTGAATACAAGCCACTGTCTATTGGTGCTTATGCATTAGACACCAGGCTTGGCATAAACTCTTTTAAGCCTTGCAACAATCCAGGGAACAGGTATTTTCTTTTTTAAATTTTAAACAGTTCTTTATTTATCATCTATTTATTTATTTGTTGTGATTTTCAAGCTGCCAGGTCCGGGACTCAATGAGCAGTTGGCCATTAGGGAATCCAGCACTGGCCCCAGGAGTAGGTATTTTCACCCCCATTATACAGATAAGAAAACTTAGGGAAGTCAGCTTGCCCAGGGATATGGAGCAAGTCTGGGCCCTTAAACGTAAGACACTGTCCCTGTCTTCTTATCACTTTGTAAGTGAGGAAACTGAGTCTAAGTTCCTCACACAGGCTGAGTTGTTCAGCTCATCCATGAAGTTAGCAAGTGGGAGAGGCTAAACTGTGAATATCTTCCTGACACCATGCCCATTCCCTACTCCCCCACCTGTACTTGAAGCGGCAGCAGATATTCAAACTCTTGAAAGTTCCAAGAACCTGCAAGAATGTGCTCTGTCGGCCTTGAAACTCTGGACAGGCTGTTCCTTCCCGTGCATTTGACTGGCATAGGCCTATTCTTCTAGATGTTAGCCTCCTCCAGGAAGCCATCCCTGAGCACCCAGCCCCAGCACCCTTTTAGATGTTTCCTTGGTTCACCCTGGCATGTGTTGACGGCATTGGGGTTACCTGACTTCTTTGCTTGCTCTTTCACTTGCCAGTCTGCAAAGCCAAAACAAGGACGGGTCTCGCTGCTGGTGAGATCCTCAGCACACAGCCCTGTAGCTGGCACAGAGTAGGTCCCCAGTAAGTGTTTGTTGAATAAATGCAGGACTATGGAGCAGAGCTGCCTTTCGCTTTGTCTGGAGGCTACAGCTTGGGGTACACTAATCGGGAGGGGGCAGGGAAGGGGAGAAAGGTGGCTTCTTGTACACCCTATTAAGGTGTACTGGGTAGAGCTCTGGGGTCCTCAGGGCACTGGTGTAAAAACCAGCGTGTCCTTGCTGAACAGAACTCTCAGGCTGCCGTTTTCTCACTCCTAGTCAGAAACAAATCATGTTCTGAGTGACTGGGGTCAGTGCCCATAGCACTAGGAGCCGGCTTAGGGTGGGGCAAGGGGCAGTGGCCTTGGGGCTCCTGTCTTCACAGGCTGGGCCTCCCGGCTGGGGGGAGGGGTACAGAGTGGCAAATCTGTCCCCGGGAGGCTGCAGTCACTGGGGGAGAGACAATGGGGCTCAGCATCTGCTCCTCGCTGGGTGAAGGGACCCTCCAGTGAAAAGCCAGGGAGCAGGGAAGTGTGGGAGGAATTGATGAGGAGAAGGGGTGGAGCCAAGGAGATGCAGCCGGGAGGAAGGAAGGGAAGGGGAAGGAAGAGAGGGAGGGGAGGGGATCCAGGCTTTCCTTCCTCTCGGTGACCTGGCCCTGGCTGCGGCCTCCTCTTGCATTGTTCGGTGCGGAAACTCTGGGGGGCCCACCAAGACCTCATGTTTCTCCCCTGGCTAGTACCCCAGGTTCCAGGGCCCGGCCCCCAGCAGGTGCTCCATACTTACTAGGGAAAAGGAGAAATGTGACCAACTTTGCTCTGAGAACTTTTCCCCTGTCTTCTCCCCGCTTCTCTGTAAAAGCCGAGGACAGAGCTGGTCTTGGGAGCACGCCCAGGCGCCCCATGAATAATTGACTCTTCGTGGCGGCTCTGTCCGAGGGCTTCGGCCTCTAAGTCTAGAAG